AAATATGTTTATGTAATAAGTTACTGAGGAAAATAAGATAAAATTTTTGCCGAGGTCCTAGTATAACTATGGCCTAGAGAACATTTAACCCACCCCCGACTTAGTCCGAAGAGATTTAAATCAGACCGACAAGAGTATTAGATGTAACTAGAGATTTATTCATACAAAATCATGGCTTGGGATAGTAATTTAATTGTTTTTTTTAAATTCCACATTTTTCATGGCCTTTTTTATTTGCTCGTTATATTAGTAAAGGTATGGAGTTTACCCTAAGTCTAGGCGGTATGATGAGAAATAGAGATGTTCAAAGTTTGATTTTACCTTGTGTCAAAAATATCATAAAACTTTAAAACCAAATGCACCCACACGTTTAATATTTCTAGAAAGTGTGTGCAGCCAACAGATGTCCATTTATTATCGTGTCAATTAAAATTGAGAAACATGAACTTAAATTATATAATTCGAATTGATATTTAGTGGAAGATCGTTAATTATATACAGTGTATTTTTTTATCAACCCAAAAGCATTCCATTTTTTTGTTGTCTTGAGCAACGCTATTTGTGAGATCCATTACCCTCATCGTCAATTGTTATTCAGGTCGTCTTGGGTCATCCCCATGGCCTTGATCACCTTATTTTCATCAATGCACATCTCTTTACCCACCTTCATTCATATTTCGCTCGACATGTCCAAACCACCTCAGTTTATTTCTACTCATCACCACTCCAATCGCATCTATTCAAACCCTTTCCCGCAATTCCCTACTTCTTTTTCTCTCTCATAAATATCTCACACATCCATCTAGCTATTCTCATCTCCGTTTTTTTTCTGGGCTTATATAATTTTTTTATTGTAAAAAAAATATTTAATATCTATATATAAAAATCAGGGCAGAATTATATTATATTTTTTTCTATTTATTATTCGATAATTTATTTTTATTAATTTTGGTATGAATACGCCATCTCGCAGAAAATAATTTATATAAAGATTTAATAAAATTAATTTTTTGAAATAACAAAAAATATATGATATAAGAAATAAGAGTAAAATTAATTCATCATTATAATTATGAGGTTTGTTCTTCGTTCAAAAAAATTATAATTTTTAATTGGTGAATTCTCGCGATTTCTGGCAGTCATAATTTAAAAAAAATAGCAGCCTTGATATCGGCGCATTTCCAATAATAATATTGATACCCTTTAAAAAATTTGTGCTGATATATACCATTGTTAGACCATTCGATTTAGCCAATTTTAAATTAAGATTTTGGCCAAAATAATATTAAGTAAACCTCGAGATTTTGTGAATATCCAAGCCTTTCTGCCATCTATGAGCAAAATCTCCACGCTGTAACATTTTTTGGCTAAAATATTGCGTTATTCGTTTTTAAAATCGAACTGTTTAACAACATTACTTATGCGTGGAAAACAATTCAAGGCAAATTTGAAATTTTTATATAAATCAAACACCTTTTCCAGGAGATATAATCGAGATTTCTAATTTTTAGCGTTTTTTATTTTCGCGATTTAGAACAGGAATCAAAGTATTAGCCGTTACCGACCTATGCCATGAGTGTTAGTTAAGAAAAAAACGGAAGAAAAAATGATTTTAAAAGATTTTCTAAATCTAAAGACCACATTCTATTCGGAGAGTTATTTAGTATACTATAGGAAATGACAAATAGGGCATAATGCTAAAGTTTTTTTTTTTAAAATATAAAACATTGTAGTAATGAAGGGGGGGGGGAGTTATAAGGATAAGATATTGACCTTATTTAATTTCGAAAAAAGGTGAAAGAATTTAAAGGCCAAATGGAATCTAGTTATTTTATTTACCATTATTGGTCCTGACGGGTCTCGCAGCTGAAATCTTTTTTGAAAAATATTTTCGATTTTGGAGCAGTTTAAACCGATCTGGTTGACCTTTATTAGTTTGAAACCTTAAATGATTGATCAAACGTCTCTTTTTAGTTTTTTTAAAAAGAATATGTATTATCTCCAATAATATAATTTATTATTTTCAGCCACATCAAAATGTCATCCTTAAAATATTAAAAGAAAACTAATTATATACCTTGAAAGAAAATGTTCAAAAATAAACAATATTAATATAAAATAAATAAATGTTTCATGATAAAATAATATTAATACTAATTATTATAATTGAATTCGATATTATAATTATGCTCAAAATAATTTTCAGGGTAATGATACATAGCTTTGTACGTATGGTTTTTTAGAATGTTTTTTAAAAAAATTCGATAGCGTCGTTATCTGTCCTTATATACAAAAAAGTTAATGTTATTTTTTGTAGCATCTGTAGGTTACAGATTTCGTCTGATTCCCAATAAGCTAGTGTTCCAATCGGCTATTTGATAATTTTTTTTTCTAACACAATACTCTTGGACACGCGAACTTAGATAAAGGGGATTGGATTAAAGGTCAAGGAGATATGGGATTAGGTTAGCTTATATTTCAAAGATAAAAATGGGTGTAATGGGTTGTTTCGTAAATTCATATATCTTCACCCACAATCTATTCATCAAAGTATCTTCAAAACTTTTATAAGTTCTGAGGAAAGGTGGGACGGGAGGGGGGGTAGGTTTAGATGGATTGGATAATGACAATTTTTTTTAAAAAAGGAAGAGTAATGTCATTGTTGTTATTAAACGTGAAAATTTGAGAAAAATATATATCTTTCGACCACATTCAATCCCTCCTCCTTTCTATTTTTTTAAAAATAAAAATAAAATAGATAAATAATTTCTCTTTTGATATAAATGAATAAAGGTAGAAGAGAGAGAATTTTTTTTTATTTGTGATATTTCATCCCTTTGATTTATTTTTTTTGATTTTAGTCAAATCTTCCCTTTTTTATTATTATTGATCACATCGTTTCGTTTGTTTTTTGTTGTATATAATATCTTTTTTATGTTTGATCTATGAATTTTTCACATTTAATAATAATAAAAAAAAATTGATTGTTTTTATAATTTAAAAAGAATATATATCTAGTTTATAAAAATTGGATCGGAATGGAAATGGCAAAATAATAATTATGATATCGCTTGATTTCATCTTCCTTCTTCACTCCCTTCCAATTTTATCCTACAACTGGTATAATAATAAAAAGAATATTTTATAACCTTTTTGTGGTTTTTCCAATGTGTATATTATTTCTTATTATACTTTTGAAGGGCGTGATTTTTTAATTACCGCATATTATTTTTTTTTATCTTTATCTTTTTAATAATCTTTGAAGAATCGAATTCGCGGCGAAAAAAAAGAGAATCTAAGACGATTTTCTAAGAACTTTTCTTTCTCCTCCCCTCTTATTCTTTTCCGGTAATGAGGTATAGCGTTGAGTTATTGATTTTAAAATTAAAATATTAGATAGCGCGGTAATATCCTTATATACAAAGAATTGTTGTTTTCGAGTAGCGACTTTGACCTAGTCGGTGAGTGCGTGTATTACTAATCATATAGTTTTGGGTATTATCCAGCAAGGATCAGGTTTTTCTATGAAGCCAATCCTTTCTATGGAGTAAGAATATTGGAGGCGATCATGTGATTCCTAATATGTATTAAAATACAAGTGGGTCTTATTTAGTGTTGTTAAATGACCCGAATTGCTCGACTTTTAAAAACGGCTCGATTAAGATCTAAACCAAAATAAAATTATGTAAGACTGGGGATTTTATAGATGGCAGACTAGGTTTGCATAATATTTAGCTAAAATCTTAATCAGGCCATTTAACAACACTAGCCTTATTGCATTTTAATTAAATTTGGTAGTTATTTAGCGAATAGCTTTAATGAACGACCAACGCTAGATATATCATTACCCATTTTTTCAGCATGGGATCCGGGACGAAAAGAATAATAGCGATTTGGTTCGAAATTTTTAATAAAAACAAAAAATATTGTTATATTTAATGTATAACAACACGTCAATATATCCATCGTATTCGCAATACAAATATTATATGCAGCTTATATTTTTTTCCCCATTTCCTAATGACTTTAGCGATTAAAAAATAAATAAAAGTATGTACTCTCAAATTCTTGATATTTTTTTTATATCTTGTTAATACGAGGTTAAGAAAAATGGAAACGGAAAGGGCAGAAGTGGGGGGGGGGTTAATAAAGGGTTAATTATGTTTGTTTTTTTTTTCTAAAGTTCGATTTTACCAGATTAGTTGCCGAAAATTAAAAAGCGGGTACAATCAATAATGTCAAATTTAATATTAAAAAAGTCAGTTTAAATCCGCTAAATTTTTTTGACAGATTATGTTCAGATATTGGTTTACGTAAAGCGGGTTTGGGAAAAACCTCTTGTAAATAGAAATTTTTAAAAGTATTTTGATACATATAAATGCTGCATGTAAAAATGAATGAGGGTACTCATTTACATAGCCGTCTTCAAGTATTTCGTATTAGAGAGGGGGGGTTAAGTCGTTTTTTCACTATAAATTATATTGGGTATTTTGATAAGAGGGAAGAAGGAGGCAGAGATAATTTTGGATGGTTTTTTGCTATAAATCAGGCCCCTTCTCTTAATGCGAATTTAAATTTTTATAAAACAATTTGGTTTTATATCCTTTTTTTCTCAATAATTTTAATTTATGCTCTTTAAAATAAAAAAATCTTTAGAAATTTTTCATATATGGAAATTATCTTGAAAATGAAATAGGATTTTTGGTCTAATTTTACATAAAATTCCAATTCTTTTTTTTTAAAAAAACTAAAATTTTATGATTTTCTAATGTGCAAAAACTTTAAAGATTTTATTTCAAACTCGGAACTTAAATAAAAATAAGTCCAGACCATGTTTCAGTTTTGTATTGTAGTTTACGGTTCGCATCATTTAAAGTCGGGCTCTGCACTGAACATGTCTTTTCCATATTCATAAATTTAAATAATAATTGGAGAAACCCACTTAATTTCATTAAATTACTAAATATAAATTATTATAATCATTCTTTTTTTGTTAATAGATTCTAATAAGGCAAACATAATAACTTATACTCGACTCGAAGTAGGAGAAGGATATGAATGATAGCATCCAATAATTCCTAACTCTCTATTTAAAAAAACAGTATTGGAAATTTCCAAATGACAGTATTAATCTCACCTTCTTATATCGATATTTTGTGATAAAATAGCAACGTTTTAAAATAGTTTGATTTTTTATAGTATTTGTATTGTAAAACGTTCTGATACACAATTGTGATTCCTTCTTATATTATATTCAAAAATAAACTATAATTTGTTTAATTTTTTTTGGCATTTTCTAGAATATTTTTATATAGTGATGTTTAATAAAATGCAAATTATTTCCCCCCCCCCCTATATATCCTAAATTATCAGTATTTTTTATATATAATATATTTCGTTTAAAAAAGATTCGCACCTTTTATATGCTACACTATTTATTACTTATATTTTATTGAAAATTATACGCAAAATAATTGACAACCTAAAAAAAACAATGCAATGCAACAACGTACATGCCCGTTCCTTCCCCCCATTATAACGACCCTTGTATTTTATTTATATAAATCATTCACTTTTATTTTGTTGAACCCGTAGGATTTAAATATTGATAGAGAAAGCCATCTAATTTTTTCTTTTCTATCTGCCATGATTTCAATATGACATTATAATTTTTAAAAAAAAATTAAAAAGAAAAAGATGAATACATTTATTTATCATTAATTATTAATATCTCCAAAAAAACACTTTCAATTTGTATCCATCATGAAAATAAAAAATTTTTGCGAAACATTTTTTCCCCAATTTATAATTCACACGTGATCGGGTCTTTCATTTTTATCGTTCCCTTTTTAAATTCGGGAATCGAAAAAATAACTAAAAGTTTAATTTTTTAAAATAAATGATAAATATGACGTTTGACTTTTCTTTTAACGTACCGCGAAACGCAACCATAGCGTAGCCATTATTTTTGAAGCCTACTTTTTGATACGCTCGTTTACTTTCTTTTCATGTTAAATTCCGTGAGTCCCAATAAAATATCCGCATCTAACAACGCGTCTAACAATGAAATTCGTCATTACTTTACACGCCACACCGATTTTCTGTTCCTAACGGATTCCCTTGCGGCGAAATGTTGCGATTCGTTAGATAAGGACCGTCAATCCGAACCCGAAGACTGTCAATCTAATCACGAGCAAGACCAGGCCTACACAATTCATTACAAACCGTCCCCCAACAAATCCCGTTTCGTTTCTCTCCCCATCAAAGATGGCGTCAAAGATCGGACCGAAAACGCGGATTCCACCTTCGAAGAAAGACATTTCGAGTAAAAGGGATATTTGGATGGATATCATAATATAGGGCTTTTATTCGATATGCTCATTTTATTAGGGTTGGAATTCAAAATTCTAGATTTCTGCAAAATAGTAGGGTAGTAAAAAAAAAGAAAGGTAATGCTTTAGCTTAAATTTGGAGTAAGTTCATCTTATTTAATATTCAAAGCGAGAAAACTATTTGTCACGTGTCTTGATCGGGACATGTATAATTTAATCATGATAAATGATTTGTTTTTATTTTTTCCTAATAATTGATATTTCAAGTTAACAGCTTTTTGAGGTTAGGTTTGTAAAAAAGAAATTAAAGGAGTTTTCATGATTAGTTATGCTTTCATCTATCTTTATGTTCCTTCTAAATATATTAAGCTCATGATAGTTGGTAGTTGGTTTTAAAAAAAGCATCTTACAAAACGAAAGATATTTCAGTATTATTATACATTAAAATTTGGGTTCTTGATAATTTGGGCAACTCCACAATTTGACAAAAATTCCGAGTCCCAATCAAATTCCTATTAACTACTATGTATTAGAAAATACTTTGATATATTGGGCAAAAATTTTGGTCCCAACGGTGCTTAAATTAGACAGGTTTTACTGTATATATATTTTTCATAATTTTTGGGGAAAATTTTTTTGTGGGAAGCCAGGGAGTGAGCTCCTAATTTTGCTTGTTAAAAAATCGATATATATTATACACATCATATAGCATTCATATCCATTTTTTAATATTTTTTTAAAAAAAAATGAGATACATAATTAGACCTCGCACCAATACTGTAATTGGCGGCGGATGTTTTAAAAAAATATTTGATCACCACCATTTGTCATTCAATGCTATTTCATATTTTTTACTGATAGGAGATGTCCCGCGAAAGCTTTGGATTCTTCCGGCGATCGAGCCGAAATCGACTATCCGGCGTTCTTGGGTCGAAATATTATAGGACCGAGAAATAAGCCTATCAGTCGTGAGCTATCTTCACTCCCTCTTACGAAAAATGGATATTATCTCAACCATAGATATTACCCGGTTCTTGGAAGTCGTAAACTTAGGGCAGCAGGGTCGTGCGAGTCTAGACATTCGATAGACAAATTTTACAGCGACCGATTTAGGAGGAAGTGGAAAGAGCCTCAGAGGAGTTTAAAATTGGCTTCAAAAGGTTTTAACTCAACTTCATAATCATATTTATAAGATATTTTCAATAATCTGTCTAAATTGAATATGTCAGTTATATAATTTAAAGTTAATATGAATTGGGAAAGTGTTCAGATCGCGAGGAATTATAATTGAATATATTTATTATGAAGTTTTATTATAATAGAGATGCGCCAAAATCACTTTTTAGCTGACACACCGATAATATTAGCCATTACCAACAATATTAAAAAATAATATATTTTTTATTGATTAAAAAATAATATATTTTTTATTGATTAAAAAATGCAGCATAGATAGTTAATTAATATTTTCTTTTTACTGACTTATAATTAATAAAAATAAAATTAATAATAAAAGTAAAGAAATGGCCGTGAATAAAGGAAGTTAACATTCCTTTCTTATCACTTTATAGATATTAATTTATGAATCAGTTTGTAAAGTCAGTCTTCCAAGAAACTCAATTTTTTTTGAGCAGGGATGCGAACCCGGGAAAATTTTTGCCCGGGTTCGGTTCAGTTCGGTTTATGGTAAGAAAAAAATAGGTGAGTTCGGTTCAGGGAAATATTTTTGAACCTGGTGTTGGTTCCGGGTTCAGCTCGGGTTTAAGAATTTTTGAATTGATAAAAAAAATTCTATTTGAATCTTAATTAAACTAGACTTAAATTTGGTATAAAAAAATTTATTTTATTTATAGGAAAAATATAGTTAAAAATTCAAAAGTTTACAAAAACTGCCCTACATCTTTGTTTAACAATTTTTAAGTTATAGATTTTGAGAATTCTTTAAATTAACAATATCCAATATAAAATATTTTACTTTGACTTGTTCACTTTCATTTTCCTCTTATTAATAATCTTTGAGAATAAGTTAAAAATTAAAAATAAATGGCATAAATGAATTTAATTGTTTAAAATTTATTAACACTTCAATAGGAATCCATGAGAATAAATTAAATAAATTTAAAAATGGCGTAAATGAATCAAGTTGTTTAAAATTTATTAACACTTCACTTAATTGGAAAAAATATTATAAAATTTCAATTAAATTATTAATATTTATATTTACAATTATACAAATATCTTAATATATGATTTTAAACAATATTTTGAACCCTGGTTCAAATAAAATTCCTAGGTTGGTTTTGGAAATTTTATAAACGGGGTTCAGGTTCAATTCGTGTTCAGATTTCTTCAAAAACCCGGGTTTTCTTTATCGGGTTCAGTTCTAATCCATGAGGAGGAGAGTTGTTTTTGGTAATAATGACCACGGCCGGTTTAAAACCGATACTATAAGTATCACATCCGTGACAAATAGCAATTTTTTTGTCTCATTGAATCTTTCGAAAAGTCAGATTACGAATATTTTTAATGGGCAGGCTATGAATTTGTTCTTGTAAATATATTTTTTTTATGAACCTAATATATTTATTTCAAGCAATTAAGAGAGAGAAAGAGAGAGTGAGCAAAGATTTAGTAATTTATATGTTATCTTTATATATTTTAAAAAAATGTGAGACATATATAAATTACCGGCAATGTTAGAAGAAAAAATAACATTTTAAATATTTAGCAAGCTTGATTTTCTCCCTTTAGAATTTCTTTGTTTTTTTAGTAATAGTTAGGAAATTATGCCGTCTTAAAATTCAGCATTTTACTAAATTTTATAGAAATTATATATAACGCAAAATTCATTGAGCTAATTAAAAAACGGGGGTCTTAACCAGTTTTGGTTGACCTTCACGAAATATTGCCAACCATGTACATTATAACTTAGATTAAAATGGATTCGCTTACCTTAAAATAAATAAAATATTTAAAGGCTGGCCTCGTAAGAACTCGTTTATCTTGTACAGATGCGGAATTTGTCACAAATTCTTGTCTCACAAATTAAGGACGGTCAAAAAGCATTTGATGTCATGGTGTATCATAGGTAAGTTTTAATCGAATATTTTCTCCCTTTTTTTGTTTCTTAGGTCTCGTTTATAGTAAGCGCGATGTCCCTCAAACGATGCGTAATTTGCACAATATATAATGTATTACAGCTGTTCTATTCTTTACCGATGAATAACGCATCGCTTGAGCGATATCGCGCTTACTATAAATAAGGCCTTAATCATATCACTGCTTTTTTACATATCAACTTTTAATAAGTTTTAACTCAGAATACAATGGCGGCGTCACTAGGGATGGCGCAAAGTGTACCTCGAGCGTCTAACTTTTATTTTTACATTATTCATTTTAAACGTTTTACAACGCGATTTAACAGCTGATCGAGTTAATCTTTTACTGATATATGATTTTTTTAAAAATATTAATTGTTTAAAAAAATTATCCTCTTGATTGGAAGATCTCGTTAAAATATTTTACGAACGATCAGCTATTAAGATTTAGTAAATTTCGCCCTAATCTTGAGAGTTGGCGACATTACTCTAGGAATATAATGAACTCTTGGATATATGATTTTTTTCTAATATTGTAATAAAATGTGATGATTTTGTTATTATATTTTCTCTTTTTCACAAAATAATTGTGTTCAAGAAAAACAAGTCAACAACGCTGAATCATGGGATTCTGTTGAGACCGAAGCTATGATTACCAGAGTAATCCTCAATTCTCCTCAAAAACGAACCCTCGAAACCTTCAACTTTTTCAAGACTTCAATTGAAAGCCCTGATATGGATTTAGATTTGTTGAAATTAATCGTCAAGTATTCACCCTCTAAGTGCGCTCTTTCTCCTTTGCGCACAAGTAAAGCCTTGAATCAACTCAAAACCGGTTTCAAGGAAGTTCTCAATAGTGTATCTATTCGCGACGTGGAAGAAGAAGATTGTCGTGTCTTAATACCCATTCAACTATCACCCAAAGTATTAAGGATAGAATCTAATGATAGTAATAAGTCAAAGTCTCCTGTAAAGGTTAAAAGTGTGAGGATCCTTACAAATTCAGTGAATAAAAGGAAGAATTTTAGAATAATACATCGGGCCCCTCCCTGTTCTGTTATTTCAAATATATTTCTACCCAGTGACACTTCTATTGAAGGAAACAGCGGCCATGCCCACGATTTTGTAGAAAATGATTTGGCACTAGATCTATCACAATCAGTCAATAATCAAAACTTACCTAAAGGCTCCTCCACCAATAGCAACAACTCCGATATCTCTCCTTTAAGCTCGATAGAAAATTTACAAATCCAAACTAATTTCTCTGAGTATAATGGAACAGCCTCGTTGAAGAATGGCTGTAAAGCGCAAAATACTGACCCCTCTCTCTTCCCAATCGACGCCAAAAGTCTCATGATGTTTATGATGTTTTCTCCAAGGGACAATTCGACACCCTTTGCACTTAATCAAGAACTTAAAAGTTTGAATCATCGGAATAAGCTTGAAATTTGCGAAAATGATGAGCAATCTCCCATGGAAATGCATACCGAAGTGAATAGGAAAGATTCCAGCTACAGAAAGTTGTACGAACGTTTTCTCGAGTTTCAGCATTCTAAAGCATCACACACACAAGACTCATATGCGATTGCTTCAAAGCAAAACGAATACTACAATGGACATCCCACCCTTAAATCTCCTTCAGCTCATGATGCATCACATTACTCTGGCATATTAAACAATCCCGAATATTTCTATTACAAAAGCCTTTTAGATTATTATTCGTTTTACCGAGATGCTGAGGCCGCTCAGAGAAAGTTTTTTATCGCTGAAAATTCGGGTATTGATGATCGCAAAAATTTCTTGCCGGAGCGTGGACTAGATAAAATTTGCGATCTCAACAAATTCAATATCAAAGGCGAGTACGATGCTAACCCGCCGAGCTCTTTTAAAGAAAGAACGTCTCTTCAAATCAAATATGATGACTATGTAAACGGCAATGGTTTTGATTTCAAGATGAACCGTAGCGATTCTCGCAATTTTTCCTTATCCAATTCCGGTTCTAATCCTAACTGCAATTTAAGCAACTCTCATAGACGGCAGACCGCTTGCAACGGGAAGCACTTGTGTGTGGCTTGTGGAAAGCGTTTCAACACAAGCTACCACCTGAAGCGGCACTCGTACGTCCACACGGGGCTAAAACCTTACAACTGCGTCGTGTGTCTCAAGTCGTTCGCCGAGAGAAGTCATTTCGTTAACCACACGTGTCGCATCAAGCCTGGAGGGCATCACAACCGCCTCAACAACTACCACAGCACAATGGTTTCCAATGACTATAACGATTCTATTGACCATAATCGCGACTACGACCCCGAATTTGCTGCGGAAATGAATGAGTACCCTTTGACACCCATTGGAGACCACAAAAAACATAACGGAGATAGTGCTTACGATGTTAAACGTGTCAAGACCGAGTTTGAGCCTTCAGCAAATCTTCAAACTAACATGAAACATAAATTTAGCATTAAGGCCGAAACGACTCTACCTCCAGCGATTGCCGCTTACAAATGGAACCCCGTAATTTGTACACCTTTCTTACTGGAAAACATTTTAGCGGGCGATGTTAACGGACAAAGATCCGACGAAACTAATAGTAGTAATCATAATTTCAAGCTCACTCAACCTACGTTCTCCAGCTCTTGCTCCGGGTACAATTATAACTTGTCTGCTTACGCCAGCAATTTCAATGGTTCTTTGTTTTCAAAACCCGTCCAAACCCCGGAATATAAATCTATTTTTGCTAATAACTATACAGTGTCGACCAAGGTGCAGGATGTGTTGGATTGCAATGGGAAAACGCAGAGGAACGCGATTCGGGCTGAAGATTTTTACCGTTACTATATGGCGAATTTGGTCGCATCTGGCCCGACTAAAGAAGTATTAGTGTCAGAGGCAAATATCTCCACCAAGTTAAATATTAGCAACCCTTTCAATTTGGATGCCAGCTTTTACGCCAATTATCACCCGCTATTCTATAACCCAAACGATGTAACACTTGATAAAGGCTCTCCTTACTTTCCCAAATTCAACACTTTCCATCATTTCGAAAATCCGAACGTCTCCACCAAAACCGCCCCTTCCGTATCATGCGGTCAAGATTTGAAATGCCCGCACTATCCTTTGATTCCTCTTCCTGCATATAGTGGAGACGCCGATTCGTTCGTCGTTAAAAAGTCCACATATAAAAGTACCACCCTTCATTACCCTCTTAATTTTGACTCAAACATCAAACCCCTATCTTACAAATATCCCTATAACTACGTTGACAAGCATAGCGATAGTCTATCCCTCAACAATTTCAACAACTACCTAAATTGCTTTAATAACAACGACAACGATTATAAGCAACCGAACGAATCCGCTCTTGATCATTTATCACCCGTCGTAACGAAAAACAAAAGCAATAATGGTGGTAAAGGAACTGGAGCCCACAAAAAATGTCGTGTCAAAAAGCTCCACCCGTGTGATGCATGTGGCAAAGAGTTTAGAGACAGTTATCATCTCAAAAGGCATTACTATTTACACACCGGCAAAAAGCCGTTCACCTGCGAGCGTTGCGGAAAATCCTACGCAGAACAAAGCCACCTTCGCATCCATAAATGCAAAGTGGCAGCGCCAGCTCTTCCTTTACCCTCTCCTATCATTATACCTACCGATGACGTTATTCCATCTAACTCTCTCCCCTAATTGCATTGCGCATATAAAATTTATACAATAAAAGAGTTTGTTACTGGTGGGAGAACTTATAATAATTTTCCTCTATTTGAAGGATTGGATTGTTGCTATTCACTATTTTTCATATTTTAACTACCTTTTTTTTTTACTTATTACACCATGTATTTTTCTGTATTATATTTATATAAACATATCCTTTTCCAATGCAAGTTGATAATATATTTTTTTCGCGTGATTTATTAAATATTATACTTATATGACTAAATTATTTTAAATTCATACATCGCATTATTATTAAAGGTACGTTATATATATATACTTATATATATATACTTTGCTTTATTTCGTGGGTTATTATATTAGGAACTTATGAGAAGATATTGTTTACCTTTATCATGTATTTTAATAACGGTTTATCCATCTTTTTGTGATATTTTTTTTTAGCTTTTTTAGTACAAATTTTTATTTTACAAGTTAATTCGCTTTACAAATGTATGTTAGCCAACCATAACCACCATTCATATATGTTGTACAAGATATATGAATGCATGCAAAAATGTTATCGGGTAACTATATTATATTGTCGGAGAAATAACAATTCCCACACACAATGCAAACTATGGGGGAAAAAATGGTTTTTAAAGAAATCTTAATAACTTATGACACACGAATTTGCCATTAGGCCCTGATCGCCTATAAACTAAGTTTTCAATGCAATAATATTAACTTAAATTATATGATTTTATATATCATCACTTTATTATTTATATACATCCAAATTTTGTATATTATCCACGAATTAGTAAATTATCCAAAAAAATATATATATAATTTATAAATTCTTTTTTTAAAAAAATAGTTTTTTTAAAAAAACTAATTCTTTTACAAATTTAATTTTCAATTCATAAAAGCTTATTAAAAAAAATTTTTTTATTTTTAAATAGTTTGAATTTCATACAAAAAAATTTTTTTTTATTATCATATTGTGATATTTTTACCCTTCCAAACGCTACTCCTTATCTTATTATTTATATACTATTATTATATATCTTCAGATTCCTGAATATTTTTTTAATATTTTTCTAGAGCATGTTCCTTGCTCCCTACTTAAAAATAATATAACATTCTTGTCTCATTATTTTTACATATTAATATAAATCAAACATAAAAAATGAGTATTTCTTTATACCGATTATTATTTGTAAAAAAAGTATTCAAAAGAAACCGCACACAAATCTCACCCAAATATCGTTTGTATTATAAAATATCACGTGTATATTACAATGCAAATACAAAATTTTATATATTATATTATATTTTTTTTATGGTTAAATAAGCGGTGATACGCGAGATAAACGCCATCAATATTATGAAAATTAGCTCAATATTTGAATCCGCATGAAACAATATGCTATTTTGAGTTGACGTAATTTTTAAAGCGGAGCGTATTACGAAAAATTGTGATGCTATGCTTCAATTTTTTTTAAAAAAACAAATAGGATTAATACCCTTCCTTAGATTCTTCATACCCCCCTTTTTTTATATTTCGATATTTTTGCAGCCTTTTCATAAATGATTTGTTACGTTGATGATACATACATATATCATATTCTATTGTTATGTAACAAATATTTCACAAATATTACAATTTTCATAAATTAAATCCAAAATAAAAAAATATATATTATCTAGCTATCATATGACGACATCGCGCTGTGGATATTAGTGTCTCCTAAGAGTTTTTAAGAAAGCTTTATTCTTTTAAATAAATATTAAAATAATGATTTTTTTTTCAAAATTTTAAATAGATTTTTCGTACGTTTAATTTCCTTTATCGTAGTTTTTCTTATTTTTTATTTCTCCTCGAATAATCAAATTGATCATATTAGGTTAAGACTAAATATTAAATAACAATAGAACCTCGTTATAATATGTCAAATGGGGCTGGTGTCTTGATATTTCGAGCACATACTAAGACTCGCCAAAGCAAGACTTTACTGTAAAGAAGCCCGCCAATTTATATATTAAATCTGAAGATCGATCATTGAAATATAATAACTTAATCTATTAATCAATGCTGTTAAAGTTACTTTTAAAAAGTAGCTCACTATAAGCTACAACCTTTCTTCCAAAAATATCTTCATTAGCTGCTTTCTCAAAAATATGATAACTATTAAATTTTAAATGATGCGTAGACTTTTAAAATTATGTCTGAAAATTTTTCTTAAGTATGGACGAATAAATAAAATAGTACCACCCAAATTATATATTTTTCTAAAGTCGTAAATTAAATCTTTTATTCCGATTTGAGATATTATAATGTCAAATAAATATTTCTATAATAAACTATTAAGTTAAATATAATTTTATTAATATATTATGTATTTGTGCTTAAGAGAAGATGTCCCTCAGAGTTTTCATCTGGCAAAGAACTTTTTTATCCCACAAGAAACATACTTTGCCATACTAAATAATCTCTCTACAGGAGAACTGGTTGGGATAGGAGATATATTTTATGAAGTTAATATTATTATTCAATAAATATAGTAATGATAATTATTAAATATAATATATTTTACAACGACGGCGGCGAGGTCGACTTATTACTAGGTTAAAAATATTAACTATTTAAAAATAAAATTGAAAAAAGTTCAAAAATACTTATTTTGATAATAAATAAGGCTAATGCTAACCTTGTGTAACGTTAAAGGTTAATCTAGTTTCTCAACATATTTTTTTGGATTAAATTTAAGCCGTTTTTTCGGTATAACGATTGCCCAATTTTCAACTAAAAATTCAGCGAAATCTTTTTATAATTTCGCCCATGACAGGAATTCATAATCCTAGATATATATTTTCTTATATACGAAATTAGAATTTAATCCTTTATCTACATAAAAGTAACATTCTGACTACAAGGTGATATAACCATGTGATTTCAAAATATAAATATCGGATAATAATGTGAAATATATTAATTAAATTATATCTTCATTTTTTATTCTCCCAATATCTAATATTTTGAGCGATCCGTATCTTTTGCAAATAGTCCAGATCTAAATATATAATAAAAAAAATACCAATATTATATTAAATAAAATTTTCATAATATCACTTCTCTTTTTTCAATTACTTTTCATTGTATGTAAAGTTAATTTAATCTTCTATTCTATATTTAATAATAGATGAAATGAAAGTCATTTTTAATTGAATGAGATTAACAAATAAAACATGATCAAGATATGCACTACACAGTTCAAAAAAATCAAATATCTTAATTCTTAAAACATTGTATATTACTGGATTTATTCCTTAAAGGAAAAATTTCGAGATGATTACAATGCTGCATAGGTCCTAATTATTTAAATCCGGCAAAAAAATTTAAAAATTTTTCAATTTAAAAAAAAAAAAATTCTACAAATAAAAAATATTGGCCCCTTGTTTCTTGCAAGAATTTTAAAATATACTCCACAAAATGGAGTGATATAATATTTACAAATTTATGCCCGACCCGGCCGGCCCGATTTTTAAAATAAAATAATAGACCCAGCCAGAACCCGAAATTTTTTTTAAAAAATAGGCCTGGCACAGTTCGCTCAGCCGGGTACGGGATTTACAGAGCTCTAATTACTTATGCTTACTAATAAGGTTTAAGTTTATGATTTTATTGTACTATACGATCAACTCAAATGTTTATTATCCTTTAAAAATTTCTTATTTTTTTCCTCTTTACTTTTAGCCATTCCATCTATATAATTCACGTACCGTCCTACAATGTTTTAAGCAAAAATATCTAATTTTAATCCCCTCCAATTTCAATGAATATCTTTCGTTATCCCCAGCCATTAGTAGAAGTCCCCGACCTTTGGAGTTGGCTAAGAGAAATGCTAATAGTTATTACAATTTCCATCTGTTATTTTGATATTGAAAAAGATATATATCTCCTTCCAGAAACCACCGATATCCTAACATGTGTGCCCATTTATATCAGCCATGATAGTTATTTTAATCATATTTCTACTAATTTATCAAAAATACTGTCATAGTCGAATGCCCACATGCCTTGGTAGAGAACATTTGCTTATTCATCATAACGCCAACATTTCTCAATCAATAATTCTAAAAACCCTTCAATAAAATTTCTAAACAAGCATTGACTTTTATACAATTTTAAAAATGCCTAGAGAAGCCCACACTTTTCACTATCTTATAAAATACAAACATCTTAAAAACAAAAATCTTATAAATCTTTTTCGCATAAAAATGTTCATTGTTCAATAAAAAAATACAAAACAACAATAAATTCACAAGTATCATTATCTACCTAGTATGTTAACTGTTCAGAACCTTTTTCCCATAAATTTATCATTATACTATATATAGACTGCTTACTACTCTCTTAATTGATTAAGTTAAAAAAGGTTAGGGCAAAATTATGTATTTTATACTTAAGACCGGACTGGGGCTGGCCCTAAACTCGCCGATAACATTATCAATAAAATATAAGGCCGGCCCATAACCTGAGAAATATTAATGTTATATTTCCTTCCTATTTTTCCTTTTTTTTGCATAATGATTATACAATAATAAAAATGAATTATTTAAAAAATATGGAAAATTTTAAAAAAAACGACAGGAGGCCATAATTACTAATCCAATTTCTTTTCATATTTCGTAATAAATAGAATAAAATAGAAAACCATCATTAAATTCATATTGCTGAATATTGAAATAATGCATGGCATTAAAATAAAGAACAAACTAAATATTTTATCCCTATGAGATTTTTTAAAATTTTTAGCTTGGGTCGAAAAAGTTGATTATGTAGGTTTCTAATAATGTATATTATTTATGTATTTTTGATATTTTTAGCGGATACTGTCATTTAAAAATTTAAGCATGTTTATCTATTATTGAAATTTTATGAATGTTTTTATTGAAGATATATGAATCTAATGACAAAATGGGGAATCGTATCATCTATTGGTGAATAAATTATTGTTTATTTAATATAAAGAAAGAATTAGATTAGATATTTTGATAAAATATTAATTATTAATAAATAAACTAAAAAAAGGATTATGGAGAATAAAATATTTGAACGTTTAGAGAAATTTAGATCAGATTACTAACTTGATAGACTCTGAGCCATAAAAGATGAAAGGTGTTTTTATTATATTTATTATTGATTTAATAATCAGTCCATATATATTATATACCAATATGCTTAGCTTGTTAATATTATGGTGTTATCTAAATAATTATATATCGTGATATTTATTTAAATGTTTTTAAATAGACCAATCAATAAAAAAATATTTTAAACTACCCTATAAGATATATATGAACGCAAGTCATTTTATTATACCTTTGAAGTCTTGATAATCGTTAGAGGGTATTGCAATAGCTATTGGATACGGATTATATTTCCTATAATAATTTTATTTAAAAAAAACAATTATATTTCAATAAAACGAACTATATTAATAGCCCATCCCGTAAAAATATAATATTTTTAAAAACACCCAATATAAATTTGACAAAAAAAAGATATATTATTACTATTTATTTTTAATTAAATATTATCCAATTTATAATATTGGAAAACGACTGAGATATTTTTAAGTTGAAAGGATGTTTATAAATATTTATTTATGTCCTGGTGGGTACAAATAAATTATTCATAAATATACATATATTTTTACTCTCTTTTATTTAAAATCAAATATAAAATAATAATACCGGTCGGCATTTGACGGGTTCCAGCTTTTTTAGAACGCCAGAAACCCTCCTACTGATAATGAAAGCCGATTTTCACATAGACGGCTCACGGCCATGACTAATATTTTTTTAAATTATTATTTTGATAATATTCAATAACATAACGTTAATTTTGATTGACCTATGTTTTAACCCGAAATCAATGGTATAAATTTCTAAATGTTTTTCACATGAATTATATTTTTAAATATAGATTATATCTATCTAGTATTTTTAAAGAACAGGAGCAGGTAAAGATTTTCTAAAACTGTATGCAACAGATGCTGAAACTCAACGTTATAAAACCCTAAGATGGCGCGGAACCAGCATAAATCAGGACAGTTTTTAATTTAATAAATAAAGGGTCCCTGTGGACAATGCTGGGACAAAGGAAGCAACTTGACTGTTGGAGGACATTTAAAAGATTCATCAAAAACAAAACCTATTAATATATACTAGTGGGGCAGGCTTCTACCTGAGGTAAGGGAAGATGGGGTTAACTCAATTTTAATACAAATGATATTATAAAAATTAAAAATAAACCGATATTGTATCAGAGATCTAGAAACGGAGGGGCAGGACCGGCTAACGTCTGAAATTTTCTTTTGTAATAATTCATAAAGTAGGGGAAATGTGCCATGAATGGCCATGTTTTTGCTTTTTTGAAAAAAAGGTATTAAAATTTATGTTTAGCCAAACAAATTTTATATCAATGTGTAGCCTAAATATTAATCTTTAAAATAAAATTTGAATCGAAGCTCTATGTATAATACTTTATGAGCTAAATGAGATTATGTGTTACTGGCCAGTCAATATATACTGTGTATTGACTGGCCATATACTATGCGTTAACTGGTCATAATATATTATTTAAGAAGTTTATTCTAAATATGAAATAATACAATATGAAATACTTGTAAAAGACTTATGTTAATGTTTCTACATTTTTTAGTTGTATTAAAAATTAATTATACACTAATTTAATTAGTATTAAAATCTCAATTTATTACCACATCTATTTAATGATAATATTATAAATTAATATTTTAATTATCATTTTACTAAACATTCTTAAGCTTGTTCATCATTTTCACCAAATGTTGCTTTGCAAGAGCTTTTCATTATGAATGTGTGAATTGTGACAAATCAATACATGGCCAATCAATCCTCACCTCTCTATTATTATTATGAGCCTTTATATGTCTATAAAATAAAGCGTTTAAAGTCTAATTTTTTGTGTGAATAGTGTTAAATGTCTAAGGATAATATTTATATAAAATATCAGTAATCTAAATTAGTAATTTTTTTACCAATCATAAAAATGTGTAACTTGATTAGAAAGAGGTACTAAGAACAGTTTATTTAAAATATTTTTTTATTGAATAGCTCTATTCAATAAATGAACTTAGGTAAGGTACATATCATAAATATACACATTAGAAATTGGTCCAATAGATAAAAAGTTAAAGGGTGGTGGCCAGTCTTCAAACATGGCCATTTATGGCAATTTCTCCTACAGTGTTTTTAATATAACCACTCACGAGATTATAAATAGTTGTTTATTTTGACAATCAATATCATATTTTTGGTATAGGCCTTGTATTAAAAAAAGATAAGCCAAAAGGAACCGGAAAACCTTATTACTGGAAATTATCTAAATTCCCACCTGACCGGGCTGTGCCTAATTTTTTTTTGCCATTTGCAGGCCTCTTGATATATTATATAATATATTATCAACGAATAATCTTTAAATTATGAAATTACAGGTATATTATTTATAAAAATATTATGAAAATTTTCATAAATAATTCATTGTTTATTTTGATACATCTTGGTTTACAAATAAAGTTTTAAGTAAGTTTTGGATCAATTAATTTGAAAGTTTTATTTAACAATTTTAAAAAATCCAAATGTCTTTTTGAATAAATCATTTATCATTCTATTTCAAGTTTAACACCATTTAAATAAATAATTAAATACTAATCAATTATACTACATATTCGAGTTTGACTGAAATCCTACGAAAAACGTCAAAATTTGTCGATTTAACATAGAATTTTTTATTATATATTATAGTTATTTTATATTCTGGAGTTAAATATGATATACTTTTAAATAATATATAATTTCTCATTTTGAAAATTATTATGGGATCTAAAGTAGCTTCCTTTTTACATATTATGTCGATCCAAAGAGTGTATTAAATAATGATATGGGAAGATTTAATTGAGAGTAGGCAGGGTCCAGGGTTGGGCAGTATCGCGGATATTTGTATCGAAGATACTAGATTTTTTGTTTCAAGCTACAAATTATTTAAAAATATCGTAACTTAATTAACTTTGCATTCAAATGGATACAGATACTTTAAAATATTATATTATTAAATTTAAATAGCATGAAAAAGCAAAATGATATTATTTTAAAATTTAAATTAAAAATTTAACCCTATTTTAGATATTTTAAGATAGGTTAATGATATATGATGTTGGTGGTCATATAGAAATTTGCTAAGCAACTACCACATTATATTAAAATCGTCATACAATAGCAAAAATTATGAACCAAGTTAGAAGATATAATTAATCGTGGAAAACAATGATGCTGCACAATGAAAATATAATTATAAATATAAATTACATATAAAATTGAAATTTTTTTTAAGTCAATGAATATCAATAATATAGTTACTGCAGAGTGTAAAAAATGTCACAAGTCTCTGTAGACTAGTCATCTAATTTTATCAAGTATCTAAAAGATTTTATAATTTTTACTAAAAATCACATTTATAATGATATTCATTTCATATTCAATATTATATCATTCATTTTGCTAAATCTAGAATTTTCAAATGTTTTTTTTATTAATTATTGATAATGAATTAATATAAAAAATCATCCAGAATTGGAAAGATTAAGGAAAGATATATTAAAATAAAAGAATATTAGTAAAAAAAATTTATAATCTAAAATATTTTATTTTTTATTTCACTGATAGAGTCATCTAAAATCATATAAAAAATGGATGAATTATTTAAAGTATCAAATAGATAAATCAAAGAGAAATTGTGAAAACTGCAAAAATATTAACTCAAAAAAACCCAATAATTTTCAAATAATAAAAAGAAAACAATTTCTCAAGAAAAATGTGATAATCTAATAACTTCGTTTGTTGTTAAAGGAATGCATCATTTATATAGTTGAACCTTGATACATTTTGATTTACCTATTTTAAAAAATATATCTTGTGTTTTAGATACTTTTTTTATAAATAAGATATTGGAGGTCTTTAGGTCTGCTTATTGTAACCCCTTTGGCTATTTTACATTTTTATAAAAATAATTTTGGTTTTTCATTTTTTTTTAATAAAGATTTCGAATTACAAGTTATTATTTAAAAAATTATTAACTTTTACTTATTTTTCTTTCAAATTATTGTTTAGAGTGAATGATTTTATACATTTTTTGTGGGAAAAGAAGCTTGGGGTGTGTGTTCAGAGGCAAATGCTGAAATGATATTTACTAGAATATGCAAACTTTCAAAGGGTCGGGGGGCTTCTACACCTCTACCCTTTTGCTAAGCCTATGAATGCTTCAAATATGATTAATATAAATACCGACCTATTTTTAAATATAAATTAACCCTAAAGCATATCTCCCTAATTTGTGTTATTAAACGGTTCGATTTGAGCCGATTTTTAAAAACGGTCAGATCAATATTTTATCCAGAAAAATATTTTACAAGCCTAAAGATTTTGCTCATGGATGACACAAAGGTTTGGTCTATTCTCATAATCTCGAAGCTTAGGCAATTATTTTTCTGACTAAAATATTGAGTTAGGCGTCTTTAAAAATTGACTCAAATCGAGTCGTTTAATAACACTATCTTTAACTTAATGCCCTATTTTCTTACCTAAACTACCTCTTTTTTTGAATAAAATTTACCCCAAGGTGGAAATCTGATCGCTCATGCTGGACATCAGTTTAGTCAGGTCTATAATTAGCTAGTCATAGCCACCATTAAAAAAATAATTATATATTTTTGTGTATATAATAAGGATAATTTACAGCGTTATCAAATATTCTTACGAAAAACATTTTTTAAAACCAAAACATCTGATGTTATATATCATTACCCTATATTCAGTGGCCCCTACAACGGGATGGGGGAAGGGGGAGTCAGAAGCCTTCTAAAAATTTGAGTGGGGGTACTCCGTTAATACATATTAAATTAAATAATAAATAGGTGGTCTTATTATTACATTTTAATAAATTTTGGTCGATGCTTAGCAAATTAGGTTGTTACCCGAGATTTCTTGTCTTAAAATTATTTATGCAATTTCAAAATATGCCCAAAAATATTAAGAAAAAAAATACAAATGCTTAATTAATAAATGCATATGGCATAATATAAGAAATAATAAATGAACAGACCACATTAGAAAAATATGATAATTCTGAGACTTATGATTCAGACTGGAAAAACTATTCGTTTATTTTACCACTACTTATAATTTTTGCTTTCTCTAATTTAACAATTTTATATAAATATTTATTAACCATTCCTTACTACCTCATATGCCTAAAGGGTCGAGTAAAATTAAATTAATTTAAACAAGACTTAGTAGTACCATGAAAGATTCAATTCTTAGTAATTTAACCATTTTATCAACGGGAAAAAATTATTTAAACAATTTAATATTGATGAAATTATAAATTCTTTCGCATTCTCTTCCCCTAATTTGTCTAAATTATTAATTTAAAAATAATATTTTTAAAGTATATATTTTTTTAAATTGATTTATATTATATATTAAAGATTGATGCAATAAAAATTATTTTTGAAATTTATGGGTGTCATTAACCATTTATTCGATGGGGGGGGGGGGTTATCAGGGCAGTATTTTGTTTCCATCGCGCAGAAAGTGCAAAGGCCAGTGTCTATATTATACTTGCATTTAAATATAATAGAATTAGGATCTAAATAAATCTCCGAATCTTGTTTAATGATCCAACATTCTAATGATACTTTTTTTTACTTTTTATAATCTAGATTCTTTTCCTTGTTCCAGTTCTTAAATGATACCTGGCTGCGCTTGGCTGTAATACCTCTACAGGCTGGAGCAAATACAAACCTCCTATATTAAAAAAATATATAGATATGGTATAATCCGTAAAAAGATAACTATTATGGGCTCCGCCTCGCTAATAAGCGAGAAAGTGAGGGCCACAGTTCTAACCGGTTTGGTCGGGAGTCAATTTTCAAAGTTCCATCCCAATTGTAACCCAAAATCTAATAACCAACCGGACTTTGGAAAAAGATATTACCGTTGTCAACACCCATTTTTAATTCGGGATTAAAATATTTTGTTTATGTGTGTATGGTGTGTTATTATGTAAATTTAATCGTGTACGAAATTTAACATTTTTATATTTGAATAATAATAGTTTAATTTTTATATGTTTATTCTTCGAAAATTAGTAATATTTGTACTAGATTTTACATTTTTATATTAAAATGGTAATATTTTAATTTGATATTTTTATTCTTCGAAAAATTATTATATTTAATATGCAAATACTTATGTATATATAAATAATTCAATTTTCAATAAAGTAGTCAGTGTGAAATTTAATAAAAAAGAAAAATTTAATAAAGAAAAAGTAAGACCACAATTTAATTAGAATTATTTAAAAGAGTTTACATTATATATTTTAGGTGTGCTCAAAAGTAAGTGGTTAGCAATCGTTATTATTAAAATTAATCCTTTATTTTAATTATATAGATTTAATACACCTTTGATTCTTAATTAGCTCTCCCAATACTGCATTAACACCCTGAGTTAAGTTCGGACTTGTAACATATGGAAATTTTGATAACTCCCCCAACAATAAAAATAAATTTATTAATATTATAGAAAAATACGATCAGGTTAGCTTTATTAAAATTAGACTAAAAATTAATTTTATTAGATATTCCAATGGCTTTAATATAATTCTTTTCTTGTTACTAAGTCCTACGTCGAAAAATATTGTTCACAAAAATTTTATGTTATTTTGAATGTCCAAATAGACAAGAGATACTATTAATCAGTGATTTGCATCGGGCCTAATTTTTCAAGCCCGGCCCGGCCCAAAATTCTTTTAAATATAGAAATTAATTTTTATAATTACTCAAAATAAACGATATATGTTATTTGGCGTCTACTTTCTTTAAATAAAATCACATATTTTTATTTTACATAAAAAAGTTCAACATAAAATTGATAAATTTAGATATATCTTAAAATATTTCTAAGGCCCGACCCGACCTGGCCCGAATTTTCTTAAAATATTAGGCTCGGCCCGAAGTTCGTTCGGGCCTGGCAGGGTAGGGGCCGGGTCTACTTTTGCAGATCTCTAATATTAATGTCCACAAACTAATTAGAATATTTTAAAAACGTAGACCAAATGTAAAGACCTAACCATGAGGCTTATTATAAGGATCACCCCACCCCCTCCCCACCCACTTAGTTCAATTAAATTGTGGTCCAAACAGAAAAATCCGGACCATTGAATTTCACTAAACGAGCCTTATCACTTTCCTAAAAGTTTTAAAGAATAAACTTTTGATAGAAATCGATTCACTTTAAAAATGATAGAATCTATGACAATATGTTAGTGATTTTTGCCTATTTGTTCTTTAAATCATATGTATCTTCACTATTTGCAAGTTCTAGGCTAAATAAAGGTAATAACCTATTCCAATATTTAGTGGTTAATTTCTGCCTACTGTTTACTTCATGCTAGAACCGACAGAATTAAAAGTTAGAGAGCAAATTTGTTAACTTGTTAAAATCTAAATTATTGTAGCACAATTTTCTTCAAATCTGATCCGGAGTATTTACAAATAACAAGGGATTATTTCGGCAATTAAACAGTTTGTATAGGTATTAGTATCTGTGCCCCAAGTTGTTTCACGTACTTCAGGCGTATTATTTAGCTTATCTCAATATCAATTAATCCTCATGACTAACTGGTATATTTTTAATTTTCTACCAAAAAAAATTTTTTTTTACCTTAAAACTTATTAACGATATTTGAGTTTAAATCATAAATAGGCAAAAACTAAACACTAGTAGTATCGTTTCAAAATTTTTTCATCAAGTCGTTGCGCCAACATAAAGGACTTATTTTTATTTAAGTTCTGGATTATTTTTATATATTTGATCAGAGTGTATATGACATATTGTTTATAATAAAAAAAAAGTTACTAATATATATTCAGCTAGGATATTAACAACAATATGCTAGCTTTAATATTCAGTCAATTCGTGTGGATAACCTACCTTTAAATTTCAGATGGAACACCTTATTACTCAATCTTCTACCCTATCCCTGGAGAAAAATCAAATGACACCCTTGCTTTTAAATGGAATATCATATTAAATATAATAAAAAATAATTACAATAATTATGAAGTATTATAATACCATGTACCTGCAATTTATAAAACAAGTCTGCGGAATGATAAGATTTAGTAGTATCAGAAACAAAAATGTCATATATGTCAACATTTATATAATTTTTTATCTTAATAAAAAAAATTAAACTTTGAAAAATACAAGTTAAGAAAAAATAAAATAAATAAATATATATATATTAATTATATATATATATTTATAATAATTATAATTAATAATATAAATTTATGATTTCTAAATAATAGACGTAAAAATGTCTTCTAATTTCAGATTATCAGGGTTTCATTAATAAAGCATAGGGTAGTGTCATATGCACATGGACTTTTTCAATTTTGTATTTGTTTTCTTATAAAATAATTCAGAACAGTTTCACATATTGTTTGTTTATATATAATTTTTTTAAAACATTTAAATTTTTTAGCAAGATTTGTAAAATTTTTTTGATGATATTTTGATTTAAAGACAGTGTGGTTTATTGGTTCCTCATTTAAGTCTGCATATAAAGATGCATTTTTGATGCGCAGCAAGTGCTGAGTACATTTTTATATACCTCTACCCCCCCCCCCCCCCCATTCCCTACTTCCAGAAAGTCTATTGTTTAAGGGAAGAAGTAGGGTCATCCAAAAGAAACTATTGTAATAGAGAAAATTTTTTAAAGTTATTAAAATGGTAATTACAAATATTTGAACATTTGTATGTATAATATAATTAAAATTATTAATAAAATGGTATTCTTAAAGTAAGAATATTAGTATTTCATGACACTTTGTTCTCCTTTTTTTTGTCGTATTAATAAAGAGAAGAATTTAATTATCAGTTCAGGAAAATGATTATATAATTAAAATAATACTGATTAATAATTATACTACAAAAAATATTATATAATTTAATATGCAACATCATATCTAGTATTATGATGATTGATTAAAAACAACATAATAAAAAGTTAGATTATTTATGACAATTTTGGAGAGATAAAGTAAAACAAAGTTTTTTGAAATCAATAATTTATAAGATGATGAAAAGACTGAAGAAGCCAATGGTATTTACAGGTGATAATAAAATGTTTAACAAATATAAAAAATTTAATTGCAAAAGTGAATCCCCATTTTAACACCTTTTATATTACGAAAAGGTAGAGTAATTTTATAAGTTTTTTTTATAAATCTAACTTCTAGAATTTTTAAAGTTGTATAATTGTGATCGATCTGATTAGTCTCATTCTGTATCTCTAGATGTCATTTCATTATATGCAAAGGTAGGCTTTTATAGCCAAATTCATTCCTATTTTATTATTTTATATACTTATAAATAATCTAAAAAAAATTTTTATTCTAACTATTTCGACGATTCGTGAAATATAAACCTTTAACTTTAGAAGAACAAGAATTTCAGATAAAGAAGCAACCAGGAGAAATAACTCAGGAAAGAAAAAATCGATAGCATCTTTTATTTAAAAGGATTAAAAGCGCTAAATCTGAATAATTTAAAGATTAATTTGGTAAAAAAAAAAATTGTAGCATTTATTTTGGAATTTTTTATCAATAATATGGAAATATATAAAAAAAACCTTAATCTTCACCTATTGCCTAAATAAAATTTGGTAATTCCTTTTTTTCTTATTATAAAATTAGATCATTTATATTTGCGTAAGTAGCAATGAGTTAGAAAATTTATGGCCAGCCCCCCCTTCCCTCACATATTCAGAAGAATATTGCGGTTTAATGCTCATATTCTTCAATTTATTTCTCCCTTTTCTAACCTTATAATATAATTATTAAAATATAAATTATTTTTTGCAAACTATTGAACAATTCATTCTATTAATGTCTATCCATAAAGATAACAAAGTGATTGGAAAAATTTTTCCTGTTGGTTGTTGTTATGCTTTCTTGAGTCTCAATTTAAGAATACTTTGCAGGTACTTAGTGTTGGTAATCTAAAATTAGCCCCATTTTTTATAAAGAGATGTAAAATAATATTTTAAGCTCGAGTTAACATGAATTTATTAAATTCCTCATTCTCCGAAATATTTATAATAAAATATTTCGAAAATTTCCTATTAAAATTATTTTATCCAGATTGGTACGGCATAAGGGTTCTTTTGTTGTCAAGCATTAAATTCAGTTATAAAAATGATTCCTTCACTATATGTTATTCAAAGATGGTATAAAGAATATTTTTTTAATCTAAATTATAGTTATAAGGGTCTATTAGGTCCCTGCACAGCTGTGGCTCGGACATTGGAGACCTTTTCTCAGCCTTGTGTCGGGGTGTAACAGGTTGCCCTACTCGAAGCCCGAGGCTCATTGAATATTTGAAATATCCTTCAATAATCATTTTGTTTCATAGAAATGTCAATCAGTATCACATGTAATTTTTCATCTAACACATTTCACTTATCCATTTAAGAAATATTCAACATTTAGCCAACATAGAATCTAGAATATTAATCTGTTATAACATTTATGAAATACTTTTATTTGATAATCTTTGTTTTCATCTAAGATCTATTCAGAATTATATAGTCAGATTTTTATTTTTATAAAATTGTTTATAGAATGGATCCAAATTTAAAATGTAATTTCTGAAAAGATTAGACGGGCTCGTGTCTGGTCTTCTTAGACAAAAAAACGAATAGAATATTTAGCGCCCTGCAAAGTGATTTTTCCACAACCCGAGCCCAACTTGATCCCGAATTTAAAAATCTTTTCAGGCTATTCGAATTTTCACCAAGAATAAGGGAATACTCTCGAGCTATCTTTGCAATATATGGACTTGATGTTCGTACTATCTACAGAAACTCCTTTCCTCCATTTAGATAAAAAGATATCAAGAAATAGTAAGATCCACTAATAGAAATTTATATTTAATTTTAAATATTGAAATCTCAACTCAGGTGGTCTTTTGGTGTTGCGATAATTAATTCTATGTTTTCTTCACCATAGCCTGGCCTTCGGTCGGGGAATTTGTGGTCAGAGAATCATGGAGATGAATCACAAATAATGGTGGGTAGCAAATGGTGATGACTACAAATAGTGTGGAATCAGAAGTTCAAAAATAAATAATGTAATATAATAGGAAAAAACGATTTCAGAAAAAATACAATGAAGAAAAACAAATGCATAAAAAATTCTTGAACAAAAAATACCTAAAAGAAAGATCATCCTGACAAAAAATATTGTTTTTATGTATTGTTAAAAAAAGGGGTATTTCTTAATTCGGCTGTGAACCGAATTTGTGATTTTACTAAACATCAACTTTTGAAGGGTTGGGGTTTGCTTATGATTTCAGATTCTTTCTATTGTCTCCGACATTATGTGATTTAAGCCGGACTCATACAAAGGACCCGTGTGTAGAGTAGGAAAAATTTTTTAAAAATAATAACGAAATTTTTTTTGTAAGAAACTATATGGAGAAATATTTTTCGTCACTATATAGATATATAGTATATCTTAATTACCCACATACGAGCAGATAGCTCGTCAATACTATTGAGTTGGAATTTTCTCCTTTATTTGAAGATGGGTAAATCAGAAATTTTCTTACTTATGAGGTGTGGGTCACAAATTTACTTTTATTATGATGAGAGGAGAATCCAAATTTTTATTTTTATAAAATATGTTAATGAGTTATATATTTTGTACCTTCAATATGATCAAATTATTTGAATTGTATATATACTATTTTTAATATATCAATTTCATAATATTTGAAAAAATTGACAAAAAATCTTTTAAAATAAACTTTTATATATTTGTATTTGTAATTTACAACCTATAAAAAATATTCTTGCTAGATGAGGGTTTGGTATTAATAAATATACCGTCTTTATAAAAAGATTTGAAAATGACGGCAAATAATAAAACTTAATTTATTTAAATAAATTTGAATAACATATAATAACTAGAGATATAAAAAAATATACATTTCATAGGAACCCATGAGAGCATAGGCTAAGCTGCTGCAACAAATGTAAATCCGGATATTATATCACTTTTTTATAAAATAAGTCAAAATAATGTGTCAAAAAAATGTGACATTATAGCAAGCCTTTTATTAATTAAGTGAAGAGATAATTTTTTGAGACTTAATTTATTTTTAATATATATTGAAATTGCCTCACGTGCCACGATCTCCCCTACATAGTAATAACTTCTATAACCAAGTTTGAGCCCTATTATTATTATCTGAGAAGGTTTAACAAATATTTATTGTGTTTAGATATTATCTTAATCATGATTAGTAAAGATAGTACTAGGGCTTGCCAAACCGGGTCCAAGATATTTATAACCACTAATACTCATTTAAAAAAAATATATATTATATTTTATAATGGAATATTTTGTGGATAATTAATATCAAATTTCATGAAATGTAATAAAATATGCAAAGAATTAATACATTGTCCTAAATTTGTATAAAATTATCAAGTTTATGTTCAAATTTATATATTCTGATTCTATAAAATATTAATCTTAGGAAGTTAAAATGCATTCTGTCCATTATAAGGTAGGAATTTTAGTGGTTTATGAAACCTCATAAGTAGGCTTGAATAACTTAATGGCTGGGGTGCAGGGTTCAGTTAACATTGGCAAAAATGAAATCTAAAAGATAACATTTTAATAACTTATTAGTGTGCACTAATAGGATATAGTATCTTTTTAAAAATAGTTTGTCGATTTATTTAACTCATAGTATATAATAGTCTTGTTAAACGGCTCGATTTGCGCCTATTTTTAAAAACGGCTAACTCAATTTCAGCCAGAAAACTATTATGCAAGACTTAGGATTTTGGTCATAGGTGGCACAAAGATTTATATATCCATTAGCTAAGCCTCGAGGCTTAAGCAATATTTTTCTGGCTAAAATATTGAGTTATAAAAATCGGCTCAAATCGAACCATTTAACAACACTAGTATATAACTATATTCTAATCATAAACTATCATATGATAATTATAAAAACGCGTATTCTATAAAAACGCAATTGGGATTACAAGTTTCCAAAAAACATGAATAAATAGTAATTAGCTTAGAAAATGGGAGGTTTGGATTTACATCCGTTAAATTTTATATCTCTTTCTTCATTTTTGGTATCATGTGATGAACAACGCCATGATAGCTTTTTTAATA